CATGGTTGTGACACTGTCACCCCAGTGGGCCTGCAAGGTGGGACATGGAGCCAAAAAGGATTATTCTAGAGCCTTAAGATCTAATGGAATTTGTCTTGCTAGGTTTTGGGCTTCTTATGTCACGTCACCCCTTTCTTCCTTCTGGTGTGGGAATGTCTATCCTGTGCCTGTCCCACCTTTATATTTGGGAAGCACGTAACTTATCTATTTTACATGTTTACAGCTGGAGAGAAATTTTGCCTCAGGATCAAGCATATCTTGAGTCTCACCCGTATCTGATTTAAATGAGAATTTGGACTTGAGACTTTAGAGTTGATGCTGGAATGAGTTAAGACTTTTGGGGCTGTGGGGATGGAATGAATGTATTTTGCATGTGGGGGGGGCAGTTCAAGAAAATTGCATGAATTTTGTGGGCCAGGGGCAGAATAGTGGACTGAATTGTGTGCCCCCCCCCCCCATATTCTTACATTGAAGCCCTAATGCCTAATGTGATGGTGTTTGGAGATTGGGCCTTTGGGAGATAATTAGGTTTAGATAAGATCATCAGGGTGGGCCCTTTTGATGGCATTGTTGCCTTGCTTGCTCCCTCTCTCTCTCTCTCTCTCTCCCCCATGTGAGGACAGTGAAAAGGCAGCCATCTACAAGCCGGGAAGAGAGCCCTTACCAGAAATCAACCATGCTGGCACCTTGATATTGGACTTTGAGGCTCCAGGCTGCAAGAAAATAAATTTCTGTTGTTTAAGCCACGCAGTCTATGGTATTTTGTTATGACAGCCAGAGCTGGGACATGCTGGTTTGCCATATTTCTCCTTTAACTTTCAGATTCTCTACAATTTTTCTTTTACCTTTCCTCTTCTGAACTGTCTTTGTGGATTCGACATCCCCTTGTCTGCTTTCTAAGTCCTTGATGGCTGTATCATCTCCCTCGCAAAAGGCAACACTTACACATACATCTCCTTTGAAACTCAAAATAATCCTGAGAAGGTTCAGGAAGGTTATGACTTGTCCTGGATCGTATAGAAAGTCATGAAAAAGAGGACTAGAATGCAGAGTTTCTAGACGTTTCTTGATATTTTTCCATTAAGTTGTGCAATAATGATTTTTTGGTGAATCAAAAATAGATCACAAGACTGATCTATTTGTGATCACATAAATTTGTGAATTTGTTTATTCATAAGAAAAGGTTTAGGGCCGGCCCCATGGCGTAGTGGTTAAGTGCTTGTGCTCCGCTGCTGGCGGCCCAGATTCGGATCCCTGGTGCGCACCAACACACTGCTTGTCAGGCCATGCTGTGGCGGCGTCCCACATAAAGTGGAGGAAGATGGGCACGGATGTTAGCTCTGGGCCAGTCTTCTTCAGCAAAAAGAGGAGGATTGGCATGGATGTTAGCTCAGGGCTGATCTTCCTCACACACACACAAACACACACTAAATAAATAAATTTAAAAAATAAAACAAATAAATAAAAAGAAAACGTTTAAAGATAGGAGAAGTCATGTTTATTATATATTTGGTAAGTTTTTTGTTAAAAATCGCCTGAAATTGGGTCTGTTTACAAAACTCTAGACCATAAAGTTGCCAGGTATGGGCCCTTACCCCAAGATACTAAAATTTTTTAAAACTTTGGTTGCCTTTAGGCCAGAATTTGCCAAGCTTTTTTTTTATTTTCTTTTTTTTTTTTTGAGGAAGACTGGCTCTGAGCTAACATCCCTGCGCATCTTCCTCTATTTAGTATATGAGATGCCTCCACAGCATGGCTTAATGAGCAGTGCGTAGGTCCACACCTGGGATCCAAACCCATGAACCCAGGGGGCACCGAAATGGAGCACGAGAACTTAACCACTACGCCACCAGGCCGGCCCTGCCAAGCTTTACTATGCCCTGTGGCCTTAAATTAACTCTGATTTATGCATTTATATTACCTGCCTGGCCTTGTAGGCATTTGAGTTTGTGAATTCTAGTGTAAATCATAAATTCTGTAACATTGAGATATATCACTAAGTAGTAAGATTACTTAGAGAAAACCAGGAAGAAGGCTGGATCTAGGTAACAAGTAGACTATAAGCCCCATGAAGGAGAAACCCTACTATACTCATTCTCTGCTGTCTCCCCTAGCATCTCATAGACTGTAGAGTAGTGAATGAATGAATGTTTACCTCGCCTCCTTCCCACACCCTACTACCTCTTAACCTGTATGTTAATGTCCCCAGATTCTCCGAGTCAGGAAATGGTCCTGGCTGTACTTTTCCCATGGCCCACAGACTCCTCTGATTCCCTGTAAATCCCTGTTTGATGCCCTAGCTCTCACTGAGCCGCTAATTAAGTAATTAAGATTACACTTAATCTTTGTGGGTCTGGGTCTAGTCACTTTCGGTGCATCATTTCCATAAACCTTGAATACTGGAAGTAAGAGTAGAAACAACGTAGGTTGTCTTGATTATATAACTTATTAGAGAGGAAACAGGCATAGAAAATACGTAATCGTGAGTGATCTGAAAGTTACTTAGGCCTGACTTTAGAACATGTGTTGTTCAGACACTCAACTCCAGCTCTGCCTTTCCTGTAGAGGCCCCTTTCAACTCTTTTACTGTATTGCTGTTGACTTAAAACTCACATCCATGTAGAGAGAAAGATGTTTGTAAAGAAAGGGATACCTCCTACATGGCTATGATGTAAGTGTATTGGGTAGGTGACTTGCTCCTCAGCGTTACCATTCAGTGATTACAATTTTATATCTTCTGGTTTAGGAATATAGATTTTTTTTAATTGCTGGTTTTTGTTATAAATAAATTCTATTAACAATATTTGCCCGAAAACCCCAGCCCTCATATTTGGTGTCTAAAAATAGAGGGATTGTTTACTTTGTAGATTTTATGAAGAAAGATGGCAGGGGGGTTAATTGGAGAGAGTTACAGTCACATTCACACGTTGCCTCTTAAAACTGAAGGATTAAGTATATCAAGGATTAATTGACAGACTGTGGAGAGGGGTGGGGAAGGTGAGACCCAGTGATGCATATACTAAAGAGTTTTGAAGGAACTTATGGGTGAAATAGGGGAACTGCTGGCCAAAACATGCACATTGGCTGTACTAGCAGACTGCAAGTACATTGTGACTCTCACCTCTTGAGAAGATTCCTAGGAGCACCCCAGTAATGTCTAGAAGACAGGTGAGTTTCACTGCTATTCATGATGAAGTCTATAACCATGTACTCTGTGGATGAACATCAGAGCATCAGCTGGAAGCTTGTTAGAAACGCATAATCATGGGCCCCACCTAAGACTTGCTGGATCAGAATCTGCATTTTAACAAGAACATTAAAGTTCTAGAAGCACTGATCTGTAGTAAAGGGTAAGAAATTGCTGCACAGATTACTGAACATGATCTCCAGGAAAAAAGAAGAACCATACTTGACTAATCTGTTAAAGCTTTTTAAGGGAATTAACTGTGTACATGGGTAAAGGTTAACATTGCATTATTCGGAGCTTAATTTTGATCAGGTGAAAATGGGCCAAGACAGAGTCCTAAGATACCCAAAGGATGGCATTGATACAGGGTAAGGGGTAGCATGTTAGATAAGTTTTTAGCTAGAGAATTGTTATTTTCGAAAGGAATATGTGAAGACTTAAATTTGGAAAATAGATCCAATGCTGGAAGATACCTTTTGAAGGAGAAAGAGAGTAGAAGACAAATAAACCAAACCTGTGAACGAAAGTCAAAGAAGAATCCTCGAATTCTGCTATTATCTTGGACAGGAGTAGAACAGGCCTGTTCCCAGTAGGTTAATATTGGGCTGGTGAGTCAGCATCAGGAGGCTGTTGGAACAGAGGCCAGGAATTCAAATGCCCCTGGTTGGAACTACCAAGAGACTGGAGTGTAAAGCATGATGTAGCCCTAAGAGACAGGGACATGGAGGTCAGTGCAAGACTGACTCAGTGTGAGTATGCTGATGAGATAAAGCTCCTCAGACATGGCCAACTATTTAAGGTCTGACTGGTCTGGGAGAAGGGGGGAAAGTACACCTTTAAGGGTATGAGTATAGTAACACCATTACAGTTGTTCTTTTTTAGACTTTTGGCAATCATTTGACATTTGTCATAGCAAAAGCTATTTATGATAAAAATGATCAAAGGAAGAGGCAACTATAATATTAAGATAGACTTAACCATCAATATTCTTCGAAAAGAAGATTATGGAATATGATTGAAGTCAAGTGATCTGGATAAAGTAAATTAGGAATTGTTCACAAACAACAGGCATCCCATGAAGTTTTATGTGAGGTAAATTTGAGTCAGAAAAAAAGGAAATACTACTTCACACTATGAACTAGTATACTTGCTTTTCTTGTGTGTGAGGATCAAGTAAGTTGTGGAATATAAAGGCACTGGTGTGAGATTCGTGATTTGATGGCCCTGGAGAACACTTGATTCTTCTTTTTGTTATTATTATTTTATTGAGGTCATAACGGTTTATAACATTGTGGAATTTCAGGTGTACATTATGATTTATCAGTTTCTGTATAGACTGCATCGTGCTCACCACCAATAGTCTAATTTTTACCCATCACCATATATGTGTGCTCCTTTACTCCTTTTGCCCAGCCCCAACCCCCTTCCCCTCTGGTAACCACTAATCTGGAGGACACTTGATTCTTGAGGAACTGGTGTGAAGAGGGAGGATTTGGGACAAGCCGAAAGGAGCAGTTGTCAAAGGGAAGGGAATTCCATGAAGCTCTAGAGACCTAGAGTTGGGGGTATTTGGAAGAGTATAAGGAAAGGACTTAGAGTTTGGGATGTTTAGGATGTGGGAGGAAATAACTGAGTATTAGAGGCATTTGAGTTGTGGTAGGAGACCCACGCCGATATCGTGGAAGAGAGGGAGTAAACAGCTAATGGGGAGATAGGTGGACCAATATTAAAACTGGAGGTGATGGTTGGGCACTAAGAGGTGCTCAGGGATTTAGCTATGTGAAGGAACTTGAAGTGATACAGAGTTGAGAGACCGCTGGTCGGGGTTTTGGAGAGCTCAAGTCTAATCCTGGCCCCTGAGACCACTTCATTTTGTTCCTTTTGGACTTGTTTGAGCTACAAAATGAAGAGACTAGATTGCATTAGTTCTAACTCCCTTCAAGCTCTTGATACTGAGCTTTTTAGTATGAGAATATTTTCATTACTGATTGAAAATAAAAACATATTTTTTAAAGCTGAGTCAAGTCATAGAAGACCAGACCACAGTTAATTACAAAGGAAAATTCAGATGTTTTGGAGTGTGTCTCTCATTTGGAAGACGTAAAAGAAGGCATCCCGCCCTTCCGCCATATGGTCTTTGTCAGATGACCTGGTACTAGCGTGGGTGGACCACAGGTCTCCCCTAATTTGGTAGTTGTAATGTTTGAAGGAACACTGAGATTCAAACCTTTTTCTCTGTGCTTCCAGATTTTTTGACCCACAGCCATGTGGCCTCCACTACTCTGTTCTCTTGTAGTCTTGCTGCTCAAGGTGTGGTCCAGACACCAGCAGCAGCAGCAGCACCTGGGAGCTAGTGGGAAATGCAGAATCGCACGCTCCACCCCGACCTACTGGATCAAAATCTACACTGTAGTATCATCACAGTGATTTGTATGCACATTAAATCTTGAGAAACACTGATCATATAGCCATGGTTCTCAAAGTTGAACAGGCATCAGAATCTCCAGAAGGCCTGTTAGAAATAAACTGCCCAGGGTTTCTGATTCACGGTTTCCGATTCAGTCTGGCATAGGGCCCAAGAATTTGCATTTCTGATACCCTAAGAGCTACTAAAACTTTCGCTAGAGACTGGCCTTAATCACATTCTGTTTGTGATTATTGGTTTCAGGTTTGTTTTTAATCTTCCCAGTGAGACTGTAATTTCTTGTTTAGTGTTTTGGGGTAGGGGGCAGCTTTATTGAGATATAATTCACATACTATACAATTCACCCATTTAAAGTGTACAATTCACTGGCTTTTAGTATATTCACAGATATGTGCAACCATTACCACAATTTTAAAACATTTATATCACCTCAAAAAAAAAAAACCCAAATAGAGCACAGAGGATTTTTAGGGCAGTGAAACTATTCTGTATTCCATATGATACTGTAATGGTGGATACATGTCATTCTACATTTGTCAGAACCTATAGAATGTACAACACCTCCAGTGAACCCTGAATGTAAACTGGACTTTGGGTGGTAATGATGTATCAATGTGGGTTCATTGATTGTAACAAGTGTGCTACTGTAGTGCAAATGTAATAATGGAGGAGGCTGTGCATGTCTGTGTTAAGGGGGTATGTGGGAACTCTACTCCTGCTCAGTTTTGTTGGGACCCTAAAGCTGATCTAAAAAATAATGTATATTTAAAAAAAGAAAAAAAGAAACCCCATACCCTTTAGCTATCACCCCCTATCCCCACATCCCACCAAACCCTAAGCACCCTCTAATCAGTCATCTTGTATTTCTTCTGCATGGTACAAGTACTTGGCAAGGTGCTAGATGTATTATTAATAATAATAGTTACCATTTATTAAGAGCTTAATATGTGCAAACAATTGCATCATCTGACTTAATCTTCATGACAACTCTATGAGGTCCAGACATGTATTGTCATCTCAAAGCAGAGGATGTTGAAGCTGAACACAGGTTAAGTGACTTGGAACATAGGCAGTAAGTGGTAAAACTGCCGTTCTGTCCCAGGTCTCTAATTCTAAAGCTCGTGATATCTATTGTTAATAAACTGAATTTTTGAAGCTATACAATCTCTATGAGAAATTTTACTGAGATATTTGAAAATGTAGTGGAAATGCTGAAGTTGTTTAGGTGTGTTAGCTTGCTCGTGAAATTTGCTGCATGTTCCACATTCAGTACTAACTACTGTACGATTATGTATGGTTATACTTTCCTCTTTTGTACTAATCTTCCACTAAACTTTCTGTTTTGCCTTCGTAATGCCCATGTCAATGAGTTTTTGCTTTTGTCAGTGATGAATTTTCTACAATTGTGGGAAAGATTATAATCCCTTTATAGCAATAAGTCTTACTCATATTTGGACATCTTTGTATTTCGTTGGAAGTTTAAGCTTATTTTTAGTCTCTTAGTTTTTGTAATTGTAAAAGTACACTGAATATTATACAGTTATGTAAAAGGAGGTCGTGTACATGTATCAATATGGAGAATGTAATATCTAAAAAATGTAAATTTTAGAAAGCTACAGAGCAGTATATATAGTATGATTCCATATGTGTGAAACAACTAGCACAGGTATTTCAATGTATATATAAATATATACATATAAATATTCATAGATATTGTCTGGAAAGATATAGAAGAAACCCCTAAGAGTGTGACTGTCAGAGCTGGGATGAGAGGAGAGGACTTTATACCTTTGTTTTGTTCAAATGTTTTTTCCTTTTTTAAGTTTCTCCCTCCACTCTTTTCACACCCTCACCTTTGCCTTTGTTTTCCTCTCACTCTTCTTTTTTTTTTAGTAGCTTGATGTCTCTCTCTCCACATGCTTCTTCAAGCTCACATAAATGCACAGATACATATAGGGAGCTTTTGGGGGGGGTCATTATTTTTATAAAAATAGAATTCAACTGTAAATATCTCTCTGGAACTTGCTTTTCTCACTATAGACATCTGTTTCTGGGGGTACATCTAGTCCGTCCGTCCTTCCTTCCTTCCTTCCACCCTCCCTCCCTACCTTCCTCCCTCCCTCCCTCCCTCTCTCCCTCTCTCTCTTTCTCCCTTTCTTTCTTGAGGAAGATTGACCCTGAGCTAACATCTGTTGCCACTCTTCCTCTTTTTGCTTAAGGAAGATTGTCCCTGAACTAATATCTGTGCCAATCTTCCCCTGTTTTGTAGGCGGGACACCGCCACAGAATGGCTTGATGAGCAGTGTGTAGGTCCGAATCCAGGATCCAAACCCACGACCAAATAGAGCACACGAACTTAACCACTGCATCACCAAACTGGCCCCTCTAGTTCTTTCTTTTTAATAGCTGTGTACTATGCATACCATAATGTAAAGGGCTCCTTATTGGTGGAAGTTGTTTTTTTGTTTTTGAGTTTTTCTTTTGCTATAACAAATAATATTGCAGTGAACATCTTTATACATTTATCTTTGTGCATTTGTGAAATAATCTGTAGAATATGAATCAGAGGATTCTATGTATTAAAAATTTTGATTGATACTGTCAATTGTGTATAGTAAAGGTTGTACCACTTCAGCAGCAATGTGCTCAGTTATAACCCAAATCCTAGTCTAAATACCATTCCTCTCCAAAAGAAGGTTAGTAGAATGGCTGGTTCCAGATCTGTGTCACATAAAGGATAAAGTCAGCCTAGGACATCTTGTGCCAAAAAAAAGTACTCAAGGCTAATGGAGTCTTGTCAAAAGGATACAAAGAATCAGCTGGAAGAGGTTCCACTGGCCAAATTTGGGACAATTTGAACATCAAACAAATAATTATAATTATACCACAATGAATTTTAAAAAGTCAATGAGTCTTGTGATACTAAACAAAAGGTGATAGAGGGAAAGAGTAGAGCTCTTTTCTAAAGAAGAATACTGGCTAATAAATGTAGCAGGAATGACGGTATTAAAAAACATTCACCGTTTCACAACTCCCAATGCAATATGTCAGATTAAATTCACGCATGGATTATCCTGAAGGCTAAAACACTAGGTGAGAGGTTGTTGTTCACATGGTTCTACAGATTACTTACTTGCCAATCACAAAGGTAAATATATAACTTTACACTGGAGAAATCCTGCAGTTACCACGTTAACCAAATAATCCAACTCAGCATCACTGATGACATCATGTGCCATTTTGTTGGATGCAATAAGAAGTACCCAAATCACTTAAGAAATATTCTTTTCAAAAATGTTTATCCTAAACCTAATGAACCCTCATGATTATCTGCAGGATTACCCTCTGTAGTTAGCACTGTAGATGATTCTGTATGACCTCAGGTAGGTTGTGTTAGTAACTTCTTTGAGGCTCAGTGCCCTCATTTGTAAAACAGTGATAATGAATCAGATAAATGTGTGAAAATAACCTAAATATACTTTGTTTAGTTTGTTTATAAACTAAAAATAGTTTGGTGTACAGTAAGCATTTAACATATTGGTTCACCTCTGTTGTCAGAATCCATTTATGGCCACCAAGTATATAGCTGAATGAAAACTACATTTCTTTTTCCACAAATAATTTCCCTATCTAATTATTCTGTGTAATTTGATGGCATGTTTTATGAATTCCCTATACTTCCTTAGATTCATAAGCGAATGAAGCCCCGAGTATGCTGGAAAACCTTCTATCCCAAATATTCAGGGAGATTTTAGGTAGGAGGGCATGGATTAGAGCATTTCTGTACTTTTTAGAAATTTAGATTGACTTGTATGAAATTCCCAATTTTATAGATCAGAAATGGTCACCTATTAGCAATTTCATGTGGCTTGACCTAATGCGTGGTTTCGTGGTAGAGGCTTAGTACATTATCTTTATTTGCTAAGCAATCTTTTTTCTCCTTTATGTTTTATTTTTATTTTATTTTTTTTTTTTAAAGATTTTATTTATTTTATTTTTCCCCCCAAAGCCCCAGTGGATAGTTGTGTGTCGTAGCTGCACATCCTTGTAGTTGCTGTATGTGGGACTCGGCCTCAGGATGAACGGAGAAGTGGTGCCTCGATGCGCACCCGGGATCTGAACCCGGCGCCACCAGCATCGCAGCGCGCGCACTTAACCACCAAGCCACAGGGCCGGCCTCCCTTATGTTTTAGAGAAAGATTTGATTAAAGGAGGAGAGAGGAAGGATTTGGATTGATCCAAATCTGAAGGGAATTGTGATGTGGAGTAGTATTGTAATTATCTTCTTCATTTCATACTCTCTACTCCCACCTCCTACCCCCATGTGCAATAGTCATTCTTTTCAATCACTTCTTTTTTGTGTGTGTGTGTGTGAGGAAGATCAGCCCTGAGCTAACATCCGTGCTAATCCTCCTCTTTTTGCTGAGGAAGACTGACTCTGAGCTAACATTTATTGCCAATCCTCCTCCTTTTTTTTTTTTCCCCCAAAGCCCCAGTAGATAGTTTATGTTATAGTTGCACATCCTTCTAGTTGCTGTATGTGGGACGCGGCCTCAGCATGGCTGGAGAAGCGGTGTGTTGGTGCGCACCCAGGATCTGAACCCGGGCCACCAGTAGCAGAGCGCGCACACTTAACCACTAAGCCACGGGGCGGGCCCCTCAATCACTTCTTACCTCTTGTCTCTCTCTTCTTTCCAGGTAGTGGGAAATGAGGCAAAAGGAAAGAATGTTTTTCTAACTCTTTTTCCTCACTTTAAACTCTGGATTGGTCTTCTTGAATAGGAAGTTGCAGAATCTTGAAAACTCGAAAGTTCCGGTTTCTCTAGTTCTCTTCCAAAAATAGCACTTAGAAATAATAATGTACCTTTTTTTACCCTGGTTACTCATGGAATATGGAAGGTAAGGTAGCTGGAGAGATTTCAAGTGCATTTTCTTTTATAGAACTAAGCAATGAAGTAATAACTCATAAGAGATTGGGAAGGAAAGTTTCAGGCTGTGAAGGCAGTATTGAAGTTATCACATCATAGCAAGAATCCTGCCTGGAATGTGGCCCTTATAACAAGAGCCATAATTGTATCTCCGTAAGAAAGTGTCCTATCTTCCTTAAAGAATGTGTTCTGGGCAAATGTGTATAGTTTCAGTATTTCTTCAAACAAGAAGAAATAAATTCATTGGAAGACCTTCCCTCTAAAGGAAATGTGGTCAAACCTGTATATAGAGAGCTTTATTAAAATTCTTAGTTGGTGGGAAGCCAAATTATTTCCAGTGTGAAAATTATTGTTTGTGTCCTAGACAGCTGCTCAGGAAGCAATCCTGCATGCCTCTGGAAATGGCACACCTTTACCCTCTAAGGACTACTGCATGCTCTATAACCCTCATTGGACAGCTCTTCCAAGTACCCTAGAAAATGCAGTAAGTAAATCACAGTTACTATTATTTGTAAACATAAAAATATTGGAAGGCGAGAAGGAGTGATTATTGTGTTTTAGTATGTGAACTAGTTGTAATATATGATGGGATTAAAAATTATTTTATTGCTTTTGCTTAAGGATTTTTCTTTCTGTGGGAAAAACAAGTTATGGAATTTTAAAATATTTACCTCAAAGCCTAATTGTCATAAAAAATTTCTAATTTAAAAAACCCTTATATTAAACCAGAATTGATTAAACCCAATTAAACCTTGTCATTGAATGCATTTAGTGTGAAATATGATATTTATCATGTTAAAGACATTTCTTCTTTTCAGACTTCCATTAGTTTGATGAATCTGACTACCACACCACTGTGCAATCTTTCTGATATTCCTCCTGATGGAATAAAGAACAAAGCAGTTGTGGTACAGTGGGGAACCTGTCATTTTCTTGAAAAAGCCAGAATTGCACAGACGGGAGGTGCTGAAGCATTGTTGGTTGCCAATAACAGTGTCCTAGTAAGTTGTAAAACTATAATAATTTCTTTTGAGCTCATGATATCAAATTTCACAGGAATTGAACTATCTTCTTTGTGTATGGTTTAAGGGCTGCATTTTGAATAATCTTATGGTAGGATTCTTTTTAAATAAACTTTTTAAATAAATAAATCTGGTTATGATAGGCATTTAATTGGGAAATTTTGTAGTTTCTTTTCTATTCCTAAAGTAGACAAGACTTTGTTAGGAACAAATATATATGTATGTATGTGTGTGTGTGTTACACATACATTATATGATATACCTGTATATCATATTTATATATATATGTGTCAGTTTAAGTTTATGCTAGAAAGATTCCAGTTTGAGAACTCTTACTATAATATTAAGAAAGAACACATGAAACTTTGTTTTTTAACTTTAAAAAAAGATGTGATATTTGTATTTAATGGAATAATTTGTATTTTAATCTGTAAATATACTAGTAATTCATAAGTTTTCATAATATGTTTTTTTTCTTTTAGTTTTATCCCTCAGGGAACAAATCTGAATTTCCTGATGTGAAAATACTGATTGCATTTATAAACTACAAAGACTTTAAAGATATGAAGCAGGTAAATTAGTAATTACATATTAGACACAGTTTATAAATAGTACAGCTCTTTACTTTTAGCCACTGATATTTAATTTAAATTATTATCTATGCTGCATTTGCTAAATAGAAGCTATAAAGGCCTATCAAGTCTATATTGAGGAAGTATTCACCTCCCATGTAGCACGAGGTGTTTCAGAGCCCTAACTTTAGAAAAAATATTTATTTGTTTTGGCTTCTTTAAAATCTATGTCATATCATTTCTCTTAACTTTTTTTTTAATAATTTTTTTAATTTATTTATTTTTTCCCCCAAAGCCCCAGTAGATAGTCGTATGTCATAGTTGCACATCCTTCTAGTTGCTGTATGTGGGATGCAGTCTCAGCATGGCCGGAGAAGCAGTGCCTTGGTGTGCGCCCGGGATCCGAACCCGGGTCGCCAGCAGCGGAGCGCACGCACCTAACCACTAAGCCACGGGGCCGGCCCCTTCTCTTAACTTTAAATCTCTGAACAAAATGTGCTTGTGTGGAACACGGAACTTTCAAGATTTAATAAACCAAAGCATAGCCTCATAATTTTGACAAGAGAATACATCATGTTGTCAAAAATAGTTCTCGTATTGTTGACTGTCCAATGTATAGTGTCTGTTCCAGAGTGAAACTGGAATATTGCTGCCGTACGCTGTAGTAGAAAGAAAACTAGGGCCGGCCCCCCGGCTTAGCGGTTAAGTGTGCGCGCTCTGCTACTGGCAGCTGGGGTTCGGATCCCGGGTGCGCACCGACGCACCGCTTCTCCAGCCATGCTGAGGCCGCGTCCCACATACAGCAACTAGAAGGATGTGCAACTATGACATACAACTATCTACTGGGGCTTTGGGGAAAAAAAGGAGGGGGATTGGCAGTAGATGTTAGCTCAGGGCCGGTCTTCCTCAGCAAAAAGAGGAGGATTAGCATGGATGTTAGCTCAGGGCTGATCTTCCTCACAAAAAAAAAAAAAATAAAAAAAAGAAAACTAATTCTGGTGTTTTAATGTTATCTTGCCTTTCAGACTCTTGGAGATAACATTACCGTGAAAATGTACTCTCCATCATGGCCTAACTTTGACTATACTATGGTGGTTATTTTTGTAATTGCTGTGTTCACTGTGGCATTAGGAGGATACTGGAGTGGAGTAATTGAATTGTAAGTCTAATTAAACTTCAGTGTTTTGTGATAAATGGTTAAAAAATTATGTTTTGATAATCACTTTAGTCATATAACAACTTTTAAAATTCTACCTGACCTCAGAATATAGTGCCGATAAGATCAGATTGCAGGTTTGTCCTCCTCTAGGACATTTAACTTTTCACTAAGAAGGGGAGTCATAGGTTCCTCTAACTCTTCTGCTGGCAGGGAAATATTGAAATTCCATCATAGACTCTTTTAAATTAAAATGTTTGTCTCTCCCAGAAAAAGTGAAGATACTTAGTATCCTAATGTGCCTAAATATTTAGATGGGAAGAAAATGAGCAAGAGAAGGTGGGAAGTTTCTCAGCTCCCCCAAGTTGAGTCATTACAATGTGACCTCATCATTCTGTTTAATGCTTTAGGAATTCTAAGGATATTAAGCAAGTCCATATTTTAATTTAAATATAGAAATTCCAAATGTACACGAAATTTGGATTTCCCTATTTAATAACAACCTAAACCCAGTCTTCTTAGAGTTATGTACCTTTGGCTCTAAATTAAAGCAGGCAATATAGTATAAAAGGATCATTTCATAATTATAACTCTGAATTAAAAATGTGCTTAGAGCATATTATTTCATGCATAAAGGACAATATATTCACCTTGTGAATTGATCAGTAGGTTCCATTAAAAAGGGCTTATATGCACCTAAATGAAGCTAAGCTTATTTGTAATTTCTTAAAATACTAAAATTTAATTGACTTATATCATGAGAGAAACCTTAGGGTTTAATAAGTGCAGGTTCCTGGAGTATTGAGTTTTAAGTATTTTATGGAATGGAAAACATGTTTCAACATATATCAGTCACATATTCTCATGTGAGTAGACATGGTTTTTGCTTCATTATCTTTATAAAGCATAGTATATAAGAAGATCTCCAAGATCATTTTCTAGATTATTTGGTGAAACTTTGTAAATAATTTCCCAAAAGCTGCTTATTCATTGAAAATGTTTTCCCATTTAATGTAGATTCTCACTCCATTACTATGTAGATTGTTTCTTCTCTAGAGTAGTGCTTCTCAAACTGCAATGTGCATACAAACTGTCTTGAGATCTTTAAAATGAAAATTCAGATTTAGTAGGCTTGAGATAGGGGCTGAGATTCCGCATTTTTAACAAGCTCCCAGGTGATTTTGCTGGCCCATGGACCACACTTTGAGTTAGCAAGGCAAGCTTCATATATGTGTCAGGGCAAGCTCCCCCTCAAGCAAGTTGAAGGTGGGAGAGGAGTACATATAGGCTTTTTTATTCAAAAAACATGATGATGAACAAAAACAAAGAATTTGTTGCCTTCAGTAGCCAGGTTGGGAGAGGAGATGTCCTTTACCTGCAAGTTTATGGATTTTGAAATTGAGGTGGCTGATTCTAAGAGTAAGATAAAGATAGAAAGAACTAAGTGTATGTGTGGGGGGGTTGAGGTGGCAGTATAGAGAAAGAGAATATGAATCAGTGATAAGAAAAAATTCCATAAAAAGTAGATTAAGAACATAAGGACCATTTGCAACAACATGGATGGACTTTGAAGGCGTTATGCTAAGTGAAATAAATCAGACAAAGACAAATACCGTACGATCTCACTGATATGTGGACTCAAAAAAAAAAACTCATAGATACAGAGAACAGGTTGGTGGTTGCCAGAGGCGGGGAGGTGAGGGGTGGGCAAAATGGGTGAAGGTGCTCAAAAGGTAGAAACTTGGAGTTATAAAATAAGTCCTGGGGATGCAATGTACAGCATGGTGACTATAGTTAATAATACTGTATTGTATATTTGAAAGTTGCTGAGAATAGATCTTAAAAGTTTTCACAACAAAAAAAATGTGTTAACTATGTGGTGATAGATGCTAACTAGACTTACTGTGGTGATCATTTTTTGCAATGGATACAAACATCAAATCATTATGTTGTACACCTGAAACTAATATAAAACATTATATTACATGCTACATTACATGTCAATTATATTTTAATTTAAAAAAATGAACATAAGGACTATCATTTAGCAAGTAAATAGAGTTAGATTGAAAGAGAATAAGGTTTAAGGAGGGAAAATTTGCCAGAACAGGACCTCATAACCAAGAATTACCCTACCAAATGAAAGATGTACCTTATGCAAAAGGGAAAGGTGCTTGGTTCCATATAAAGACTTGTCAGTAGAGAGTTAAAGTCTTATTATAGTGAGATCACTGGTCCTCAAGCTTCATGAACTCAGGACGGCATGGAAGAAAGCTTAGCTTCCCATTGCATGTAGCTCTTGAGCTGATTTGAGAGTACAATTTTTTATAAAGATGAATTGTAATATTTTAGGTGATATAAATCTAGTATATGTGTTCCCTTTAAGAAATTGTCTGGTGGGCCGGCCCTGGGGCTTATCGGTTAAGTGCGCGTGCTCCCCTACTGGCGGCCCGGGTTCGGATCCTGGGCGCGCACCGACGCACCGCTTCTCCGGCCATGCTGAGGCCGCGTCCCACATACAGCAGCTAGGAGGATGTGCAGCTGTGACATACAACTATCTACTGGGGCTTTGGGGGAAAAAAAGGAGGAGGATTGGCAATGGCTGTGAGCTCAGAGCTGGCCTTCCTCAGCAAAAAGAGGAGGATTAGCATGGATGTTAGCTCAAGGCTGATCTTCCTCACAAAAAAAAAAAAAGAAATTGTCTGGTGCTATTTAGTACACTGAATATGAATATATAAATCTTTCATTATTATGGCTTATGTGTACTATGACAAAAATATCTTTAAATGTGTCTGTCTGCAATGATAGATACCAAAGTTTGGCCCCTTTTCCCCCTCAGGTACCACTTTCATTGAAACTTCTGTTAACACCTTGTCATCCAGGTCTGTAGTTTCAGGGAGGTGCCGGTGTCTCTCCCCAGACACTCTCCCTGCTCTTGTCCCAGGCAGCCTCCCTAGAGTCACAGATGCTTAATGTCGTGACCATCCCAATTAACAATTTTCTAATAAGAAAGCGGCATGTTGGTACATAAGCAGTTTGGCAAATGTACAATTTGGTAGAAGTAAACCTTTTTTTAACCTAAAGTTTATATTCAGCCCAGACCTGATGAGAAGGGTCAGGCTGTACCCAAGGGAACAGAGTTGAATAGACTGGAGTTGAAGGGACTGTAGCTGGAACAGTGTGTGGTGGGTTCCATGTAACCGGGAGGAGACAGTAGGGTGACAGAACAGAGACTGCTCAACAAAGGACACTGTGACTCTTTCCTCTTCAACTTCTCTCTCTGCCTTTTATTAGCTGTGCGACCTAGCAAAGGTTTTTGGGAGAATTAGAAACAATATTTTGCTATCTTAAATCAAAGTAGGACAAAGCTATGTCTTAAACTTCTCTTTCGAATCCTTCGTGGTACATTGATGAGCACAGAACAGACATGCAGTAAATACTGAACTGATTGATAAAAGAAATTGGTGTCTACATTTAAGAAGAGCTAGTTTAAGGCATACTTCACTGTCTGTAAGTTGGTGTAATATTAAGTGTGTAAAAAGAATTGGTTATTAATTGAAATTTATTATGTCAATAGTGTCCAAATTAGACAACATAAACATCCCGAAACATTAATGTTTATGTAATAAATGTCATCTGTTTCAACAATTTTGCCTACAGAAAAAAATACTGTTTTAAAAGTTAGTGGTAGGGCCGGCCCCGTGGCTTAGCGGTTAAGTGCATGCGCTCCGCTGCTGGCGGCCCGGGTTCGGATCCCGGGCACGCACCGATGCACCGCTTCTCCGGCCATGCTGAGGCCGCGTCCCACATACAGCAACTAGAAGGATGTGCAGCTATGACGTACAACTATCTACTGGGGCTTTGGGGGGAAAAAAATAAATAAATGAAATTATTTAAAAAAATAAATAAATAAAATAAAAGTTAGTGGTTAATAACAGATCATCTCTGAGGGGTAAAATTATAGGGATTTTCTTTCTAGATTACATATTTCTTTTTGGTGTGCAGTTTTTTTTTAAGTATATTACTTTTAATCAGAAACAAATTTAAGTTGGTATTAGAGATAGATTTTTAGAATAACTGTACTTGGCAGAGATTTCCTGACATTCCTGTGTATGTTTATGCAGCGAAAACATGAAGGCAGTGACGAGCACTGAAGATGGAGAAATGAGGAGAAAGAAGGAAGAGTATTTAACTTTCAGTCCTCTGACAGTTGTTGTATTTGTGGTCATCTGCTGTGTTATGATGGTCTTACTTTATTTCTTCTACAAATGGTTGGGTAAGAAGTCAATATTTTATATTTGCTACTTTTAGCATGCAGTCTTTTCTTTTACTTTGCCAGATTTATCATTTCCTTTAAGGCATTCCACCTGGAAAACTTAAGTGACTAATTAAACAATGATATTAACTTTTTAAACAGTCAGAAGTGTTGGGTCCCCATTACTCGGGGCTAAAAAATATTCAGATTAAAAATATACTCTGTCTTGAGATAAGAACATTTCTTCATGGATGACTTGAAAGAATTGCTATGCTCCCTAAGTTTCCCTTTCTGCAGATAAAGCATGATAGCCCAGTCTCTAAGCAGCAGACTAAGGACTTCTTGGTGGCTATATTTAGTTATATGAAATAGAAGACTATTCAAATTACTGGTTTCTGGCCTCTGCTTGCCCCTAAAGCGTGGTTTGTCCTTTTGTCAGTTTGCAAATCAAGATGTTGTATTGTTCAAATTTTGTTTTACTTGTATAAACTGTTAGGACTTGCCTGTGGTCTAGAGAGTAACTGATACTTTTTCCTTTAAGAAGGTAGGGGTAGGAACTGTAATGGCTTGCCCATCCTGGACAATCTTCTTAGTGGTCTGATAAGATGGAAATTTGCCATCTCTGGCCAATGTACAGCAGAAATATGGAGGGAGACCAGGGAAAAGGGGGAGTGTACCTGATGAGAACTAGCAAAAACCCTTTGTAAAAATCGCCACAGGCTACAATGCTACTTTGGAGAACATTAGTGTAATTTTCTGGACTAGAAAACTGAGGCTTTAAAGTTAGTTTTTGCTTGTTGTTCAATTTCTCCTGTCCTGTGGCAGCAACTTAAAAACTAGACCTATGGGCCGGCCTCGTGGCTTAGCGGTTAAGTGCTCGCGCTCGGCTACTGGCGGCCCGGGTTCGGATCCCGGGCGCGCACTGACACACCGCTTCTCCGGCCATGCTGAGGCCACGTCCCACATACAGCAACTAGAAGGATGTGCAACTATGACATACAACTATCTACTGGGGCTTTGGGGAAAAAAAAGGAGGAGGATTGGCAATAGATGTTAGCTCAGAGCCGGTCTTCCTCAACAAAAAGAGAAGGATTAGCACGGATGTTAGCTCGGGGCTGATCTTCCTCACAAAAAAAAAAAAAACTAGACCTATGACAAGTATTTCCAATTAGAAAAAAATCATTCTTTGAATATCACTCATATTTCTATCTGTTCCTGGGAGAGTGGATACTGGGATGATATTGGTATTATGTTGTCATTTTGCATCTAATTTTTCTAATTTAATATTTAGCCTTCAATTGTTTGCATCCAACCCTCAGTCAATATATGAGTGGTCTTTGATAGAAAAAAGAGATTCCTCTACCCTACCCTAAAGCATGTTTTAATTTTTGGTGAGAAATTTCCTTAAACTCCTCACTGTTTGAAAAGTTGACCCTGTTTATAAATGTAATTTTTGATGTAGATGGAAGATCATTAAACCTCATGGTTATCCCAGGACATGGGATTTAATTATGACTCTGATAATGTCTGTGTGATATTGCAAGATTTAATGTACCTCCGAATGGTTCCTTATAGCTAAAATTGCTACCATTTCTGAATATATTAAATGTACTAAATTGCTAAGGTTCCCTTTACCATTTTATGTTGTCATGCTCAAGAAAGTAACTAAAGATAATTATATTAACCCAGTTCTTTCCCATGCATAATCATTTTCTTAGATACAGTATGACACTGATTGAGACACTGAAAACTCTATTAGGGCCTCAAACATGATTTCCACCAGTGTTTTAAAACTTAGGTTGGAAACCTTTGGTGGATGACTTACCAAACTCAACTTGGCAGTCTTTGTCTGTCTTACTACTCACATTATCATATGTAACCAATAGTAAAAATAACAAGGGACGAAAAAAGTAATTTTTCCAACATCACCAATAGAAAGTGGCTATCTCTGATTTACTATCTCTAGATTGCTCTTTCTTTCTCCCCTACAGAAGAGTTATAGTTTTCTGAAATTTAGTGGAATTTCAAAAATTCAGGTAAAATTTGTATTTCCATTGTGAAACTTTGAGAAAGTTCAGAAAATGAATACTTTTATTTTATTTTAGAGCACAATAATTTCTTCCCCTTTTAACAACAAAAAGATCAAATGTTTTTAATTTTAAATAATTCTCAAATAAATACAGCTAATATAGAAAAACATTTGTGAATTTTAACTACCTTAGTATCGTATCATAGCAGAGATTTGTTTAAATGGATTTGGTTTTACCAGAGGTCAAGTTATTAGAGAGAAATTTCACCACGGGAAAATACAGATAGCATGGTGAATGTCTAAGGTAGGTGTCAGTTCTCATTCCTAAGCTGCCTTTTAAAAAGCATTTATAATGGTTTATTAATTCTTCCATTTCTTACATTTAAATTAAATAATCACGAATGTCTACAACTCACCTCATAGACATCTCGAGCATGTCAATTTGAGTGATTAAATAATAGAAAATGTAGAGCCAGCTTCAGGCCCTTAAGCAGTCCTACCAATGTATAATGGGACTAAAACAACACATAAAATACCCACTCTTAAAACTCAAGATGTAAATATTTTTAGCTTACCAACGAATTCAGATTATAGTATAGTCACTGCAGTATAATTGTCATGATCCAATAAGAAAGCTAAAGAATTAATATTGCTTCTATAAATATTTTCTTATCACATTCCTTCTGTTCCCATATAATCTAGTGTCTTGTTTTTTTCTAGTTTATGTTATGATAGCAATTTTCTGCATAGCATCAGCAATGAGTCTGTACAACTGTCTTGCTGCACTAATTCGTAAGATTCCGTGTGGACAATGCGCGTATGTATCTCTTATGAGGAATCCTATAATGTTGGTATTTGTAATTTAAATCAATGCAAGGAGAAGTAGGAGTGTTATTTTAAACCTGTGCAGTCCAATATACACATCACTTTTTAAATTTAAATTAATTAAAATGAAATAAAATTAAAAATTCAGTTCCTCAGTCTCGTTAGTCACATTTTAAGTGCTAAATAACCACATGTGGCTAGTGGCTACTGTGTTGGGCAGCACAGATATAGAACATTTCCATTATCACAGAAAGTTCTATTGAACTGATAAATATTTTATTATGTATCATTTGTTGTACTTGAATCAAGACTTTTAGGGCCGGCCCCATGGCTTAGTGGTTAAGTGCGTGCGCTCCACTGCTAGTGGCCCAGGTTCGGATCCCCAGCCTGCACCGACGCACCGCCTCTCCGGCGATGCTGAGGTCGCGTCCCACATACAGCAACTAGAAGGATGTACCGCTATGACATGCAACTATCTACTGGGGCTTTGGGGGGAAAAAATAAATTAAAAAAATTAAAAAAGACTTTTAAATTGGTATTTCAATAGCTTTCTTGTGACTGTGGTTAACATCTGTCATTGCTCATATCAAGTGAACATTGTATTTCGTCTACAGGGTAGATTAACCTATATCAATCTGTTTTTTAGGATTATGTGTCGTGGCAAAAGCATTGAAGTGAGACTTCTTTTTCTCTCTGGACTATGCATAGCAGTAGCTGTTGTTTGGGCTGTATTTCGAAATGAAGATAGGTATGAATACTGTGTATTTGCTTTTAGATTAAACTAAGGATGGGTTGTTTTATATCTTGCCATGATAATTATTCATTATGATTATTATGGGTTTTTTTTTTTTGCTTTTATTCCAGAACACCATAGTCTTGAAACAAGCTAAATAAATTCTTAAGTAAGCAGATCTTATGCTAATGGACTTGAGGTCATATAGAGAAGGAAATATGAATTATGGTTTAAACATCTAAACTGAAATAGTCTTCAAAAATATACTTATAGTATAGCCACATAATGAAGTACAGTGCAGCTATAAAGAATGAAGATCTGTATGAACTGATATACAGTGATTTCCAGAATATATTTTTAAGTGAAAAAAGCAAAGTGCAGAAGAATATCTAGAGTTTGCTAGCTCTCATGTAAGAAAGGAAATATAAGAAAGTCTACAGGTATCTGTCCATTTGCAGGAAGGATAACCAGAAAAAATATATATTTAACTTTATTTAATGATTTATTAATAAAATTATTAGAGCCCAAAAGGATTTAATGGCCTAAAATTTGGGAGCAAAGTTCACACAATTTTAGGCCATGTCAGGTATGGTAATCGATTGATAATTATGCATATCAGGTTCTGGTAGAGTATGCTGCATGGCTCTCATTTCCTTCATGTTCTAGCTATGTGCATGTATATTACCACCACTATCCTTTGTTATGAGCTGCCTTTCTGAAAAGAGACATGTATAAATTCAAAGATTAAGGATAAATGCGTACTTACGTCTGATATGCATTCTTCTGAGGTAGCCTTTCAATTTTTTCTTACTATAGTAGTATTTTTTATTCTACTAGGACAGTAAATTACTAAATATGGAGAATATGAGAAGTTTTTTTGTGTTATAATTGCTGCTTAATAATTGAATAGTCAAATCATTGCAATTGAATGGTATTACTTTAGCGATCTATTTCTTTTGAAACGTTTCATCTAAAACTAAGTGGATATAAACCCACACATCTATGGACAGCTAATCTTTGACAAAGGAGCCAAGAACATACAACGGAGAAAAGAAAGTCTCTTCAACAAATGGT